ATATTGCTTCTTTATCTGTGCCCCACGGTTCTTCCCTCCCCGGCGCCTGGCTAGAGGCATCACTGCACTATGTTACTGTCAGCTGTCTGCCTCTCCCAGGAGTATGAACTCCTTGAGGGCAGAGACTAGATCAATTTCCATTTTCTGTTTATAATCCCAGCTTCCAGCACAGACTTGTTCCATACAAGGTAGTTGGTAAATGTGTGTTGAATAAACAAACCAACAAACAAATGATAGTATTTTCAGGAGGAAACCAAAAGGAAAAAAAAGTTGAAAGGGGAAGCTCTGTTTTCACTAAAAAGGGAATTGCCAATATATTGGGAGATAGTATGCATCTGAGTATATCTGAATATATCTCACTGGGAAGCCAGAACTATGAAAAAATTCTCCCCCAAGGCAGATTTGTTTTAACAAAATATTAACTGTCAAAAGGCTTGGAGTATTATTGACTGCAAAAACAATTCTATCCAAAAACATAATGTGACCAAGTAAAAATCTCAAAATACAAAATGCTGATGCTTGGAACATATAGGTGACTGGATTTTTTCAATGTAGACAAGGTTCCAAAGAAAACTAAATTATTCACCATATTTAATTCTAGTCAGGGTCAGGCAGATAGTGTTTGATCACTCAGCAGAATTGTATCCAGCAGATTTAAAGCTTGTGAAGGATACTTACAGGGGGAACCAGGAATTGAACCAACTCATAAGATCATTAGTGAGTTGTGATTATTATTATAATCGGAGTGATTTGTAACAAATATACTAGGATATCTAAATGACTGCTGTTTTTAAGGTCGTGTCTTTGAGAGACCATAATAGTTTTTTCCAGTGATGCTGCCACATAGCAAAAACACACACAAAAACAAACAAAAGGCATTAAGCCTTCTCTTTTGGAGCCATTTCAGAGTCATTCATGGGAAACATAAGATTTGGGGGGTGGGGGTGGAAAAAGAAATCCATATGAGACGATATTCTGGGTTGTTCCAATGACAAAATTTAAAATATGTTGATTTTTCAAGAGACTAGTTTCAAAGCAATAAAAAGATTTTCCTGAAGATTTGAGTCATCCAACAATGAAGTGAGCTTTTGAAGATGTGCTGTTTTCACTGAAGATGTTCAAGCAAACACCAGATGATCACATACAGAAGTGATAGAAAATTCATGTATTTCAAAGTCCTTTTGAAATCTGAGAATCTGTGATTCTAAAATATCTGAATACTAACTGTATATTATAGTCTGCTTGTATTGAGCCCAGGTCTATGTTCAAATGTTACCTTACTACAGAGATCTTCCTAGATGAAATTTTACCCCCATAATCTTCCTTCCCTTTTACCCTGCTCTAGTTTTCTCCGAAGAACTTCTATCTAATATGCTCTATATTTACATGTTTGTCTAGATATTGTCTGTCTCTCCCAATTAGAATGTAAGCTCTACGGAGGAAGGAACTTTGTTGATTGCGTTCACTTCTCTAACCCAAGCAACTAAATTAGAATCTGGCATGTAATATGTGTTTTGTCAATTGTCCAGTAAAAATTAGCAAGAAAAAAAAAAAAGATGTTACAGAACGATTACAAACATGAGATAGGGTAAAACACAATTCCAGTGTTTCTTTGCACGTATTTATATACCCTAAAACTTGCACAGTAGTCAACATATCACATGTGGCCAATATATAATTGTTGAAAGAATGAGCTCATGCTGTCGTTTAGACATCTTTTCTTCTTTATTTCCCAAAAGCACATAGATTTTTACATGGTTGTAATTCTTATTCATCTTTTTACCTAAAATGTGATACTACAGCTGAATGACTCATCTTATGCATCAGATCTGGCTATCATGACTTGATGTCATTGCCAAAAATCAAACCCTTTCAAATAAAAAAGATGGGCCCTCGCTGAGCTGAGGTTACCCAAAAGCATATGCTACAGGATGTAAAAAAAAAAAAAAAAAAAAATGAACTCATTATTTCTAATTCTATCATCATCTCTCCCATTAGCATCACTGAAGTGTCATAGTTATTTTTGGAGCAGAATACCATAATGAGTTAAGATCAAAATAGTTACCCAAAACATTCTCACAAGACAGCAAAGTCAGATAGACTTATGCACATCCTGATTTCAAAACTTATTATAAATCTACAGTAATTAAGACCATGCGATATTGCATAAGAGTAGATATATAGATTAACAAAACAGAATTGACTGTCTAGAAATAAGCCCTTGTATTGATGGTCAGTTAATTTTCCACAAAGGTGCCAAGGTAATTCAATTGAGGAAAGGATAGTTTTTTCAACAAATGGTGCTAGGACAATTGAATATCTGTGTGCAAAAAGATACATTTGGGCCAGGTGTTGTCACTCACACCTGTAGTCTCAGCACTTTGGGATGCTGTGGCAGGGGCAGCACTTGAGTCCATGAGTTTGAAACCAGCCTGAGCAACATGGCAAAACACTATCTCTACAAAAAATAAAAAAATATTAACTGGGCGTAGTGGCTTGCCATCTGTAGTCCCAGCTACTCGAAGGCGGTGGTGGGAGGATCACCCGAGCCCAAAAGGTAGCGGCTACAGTGAGCTATGGAGTGTAATGGTGCCATTACACTCCAGCCTGGGCAACAGAGACAGACCCTGCCTAAAAAATAAAAAATAAAAAAGATGAATATATACCTTTTAAAAATAAAAAAGATGAATATATACACACAAGTCAAAATGGGTAGGAAACCTAAATAAACCTAAAACTATACAACTTTCAGAAGAAAATATGAGTAAATCTCTGTGACCTTGGGTTGGAAAAAAATTTTCTTTTTTCTTTTTTCTTTTTTTGTGAGACAGAGTCTTGCTCTGTCACTCAGGCTGGAGGGCAGTGGTGCCATCTTGGCTCACTGCAACCTCTGCCTCCTGGGTTCAAATGATTCTCCCACCTCAGCCTCTGGAGTAGCTGGGATTATAGGCATCTGTCACCATGCTCAGCTAAAGTTTTTATGTTTAGTAGAGACAGGGTTTTGCCATGTTGGCCAGGCTGGTCTTGAACTCCTGGGCTCAAGTGATCTGCCCACCTCAACCTCCCAGAACACTGGAATTACAGGCATGAGCACCGTGCATGGCCAGAAAAATATTTCTTAACTGTAACACCAATCAGTACAAGAAAAAAAATTGATAAATTGCACTTGGACATCACCAAAATTTAAAAAGTTTGCTCTTCAAAACGAACCAAAAGACAAGCTCCAGAATAAAACAAACATACACCTAATAAAATATTTGTCTCCAGAATATATAAAGATTCTTACAATTCAATAATAAGGAGATAATTAACCCAATTTTAAAATGGCCATAAGCGAGAGCTTGAGGCTGCAGTGAGCTATGATCACTCCACTGCACTCCAGCCTGGGTGACTGAGCAAGACCCTGTCTCAAAAAATTTTTTTAAAAAGGGGGAGGTAAGATTTGAATAAATATTTCACCAAAGAAGATATAAGATGGTCAATAAACACATGAAATGATGAACATCATTAGTTACTAGGGAAATGAAAATTAAAACTATCATTTGACACCCTGTAAAATGACTATAATAGAAAGACAATCAATAATAGGTGAGGATGTCAAGAAACTGGAACTCTCATTCATCGTTGATGGGAATGTCATTTTGGAAAACAGTTTTTTACAGTTTCTTAAAAAGTAAATTTATCATATAACCCAGTAATTCTGCTCCTACATAGCTACTCAAAATAAATGAAAACCTGAGGTCACTCAAACACTTGTATGTAAATGTTCATAGAAACTGTATTCATAGATAAAAGCTAGAAACCCAAAGCTAGAAACAACCCAAATATTCACCAGCTGCTGAGGGTATAATCAGAATATCATGTACTATACATGTATTGATAAATGTATTTTTGTTTGCATTAATACTTTAATAGATTTTACATATCTGTAAAATGGGATTATATTTATGAAGTCCTACAAACTATGGGTTTATTTGAACATACATATAACAAAATGGTCATATATACTTACTTTTTTTAATTTGTGCAAATGTATGGAGTACATAAGAAAATGTGTTGCATATATATATAATACATACTGATCAAGTTGTATATATAATTTCAAATTCACATCTCTTCCATTTTCAGGCCAGGTACAAATCTGGGCTCAGATTCTAGCTGTCTTACTTCTTAGCTCTGTGCTCCCATGCTAGTAACTTAACCTCTCTGAGTGTGTACTAGTAAAGTATGGGCACTAATGTACCCCTTACAGGATTGTGGAATTAAAGGAGATAATGCTTAGCACTGGAATGGCATAACGTCAGTCCTTAACAAATCATACCCAGTACTATGGTTTGTCTTTTTAGAGTTTTATTTGCAAGTCTAGTTTTTCACTAGTAATCATGGTGAGAAGGAGGAAGCATTTCGTTCAGTGGAGAGAGACACCTCTCTGTACTTTCAGCTCTCTGACTTCTGACGTTACACTTAATCTCTCCATGCCTCAGTTGCCAACATCTATAAATGAGAATCATGTTATTCATCTCACAGGATTTATGATTAGAAAAACTGATTAAAGTATTTTGTAAACCCCAAAGTACAATAAAATTATGAAATATATTATTATGACCTTCTGTCCCCATCAGTAGCACCCACAGTATGTTTATAGAAGAACCAGAATAACTACCCATGCAGTACTGTGGAGACATTTCTCAACCCGAAGATTATAATGAAAAAATCTTTTCATGGCCATGGTGGTGGCGGCAAGTCATTTTCAAAATAAATTTTATTCCCCTGTTGTTTGAATACAAAGTGAGAAGAACTATGTTACTCCTTATCTGAAACACTCTCTGCCTGTCCTCATGAGCTATCAGGCTCAGCTAAATATGGCCCTGGCCAGTATGTTAATAATCCCCACTGGTTCTGAGACCTCCATCCACCACCGATGTGACATTCTTTGTGTTCAAATGTCTAGCTGACGTCTGATGCTTAAAACAGCCCATGCTTTCACCCCTCTCTGCATTGTCACAGCCCTGTATCACCACTCTTAAAAGGCTCCCGCAGCCACTCCTAGCACCAGTTGTTGACCAGTCTGCCACTTGCCTCCCTGCCTGCTTCTGTCTGCCTTGAATGCCTGGTCCTTCAAGCTCCTTCTGGGTCTGACAAAGCAGGGACCATGTCTACCTTTGGCTACCGAAGAGGACTCAGTAAATATGAATCCATCGACGAGGATGAACTCCTCGCCTCCCTGTCAGCTGAGGAGCTGAAGGAGCTAGAGAGAGAATTGGAAGACATTGAACCTGACCGCAACCTTCCCGTGGGGCTAAGGCAGAAGAGCCTGACTGAGAAAACTCCCACAGGGACATTCAGCAGAGAGGCACTGATGGCCTATTGGGAAAAGGAGTCCCAAAAACTCTTGGAGAAGGAGAGACTGGGGGAATGTGGAAAGGTAGGCTCTCGGGACTTTTCGTTGGCTAACCCCACCTCCCCATCACCCCATCCCAAACCTAGACGCTTGTTTTCCCTAACTTCTCAATTCTAATCACTTGAATTTTTCTATAACCCATTTATACTTGCTATTAAATCATTTCTCAGGCTGAAATAATCATGTAAATGCTATGGTCACCCAATGGATCATAATATGTAAAATTCTTAATTGGGGCTCTTTGATTACAAACAGAAAGCTCAAGCGGAAAATAATTCTCAACCAGTGTATGGGATTCAATATTTTGCCAAACATAAGTCTTGTTGGAGCTATAAGTTGGTAATGTTCCTAAGATATATGTGTACGTATAACATGTATACATTTTTTTTTCTCAGTTAAGTACATTTATTCTCTCCTATAAAGACAAAAGTGGGAACACTGGTTGCTTTGACTGTGATAGTAGCTATGGTGAAATAGTTCTGTTCCAACACCAAGAAGTGTGGGGTGGTGGGAAGTACATGACACTGAGAGTCACGGGGCCTTGTTAAGAGTCCCTGCTCTGTTCCCATGTTGTTAGACCTTGAACAGTCACTTCAGGGTTCGCTTTCCCTCTGGATATCGAGGGAGTTAGAGACAGTGTTTCTTTTGTGAATCAAGAACCCCTTTGAAATTTTGATAAGTTATGAACCGTCTTAAAATAGCCCTGGGTTTGTGCAAAATACACCAACTTTTGCATAGAATTTCAAAATGATAACACATCCTGAAACCCATTTGAGGACTCAGGGGCAGCACAGCTGTATAGATGATCTCTAAGATTTCTGTCTCCTTTACGATGGTGATCCTGAGATTAGTAAATGTGCTTATATCAGAGCTCAGGTCTATGAATCTCTTGTGTATTGCCCAGTAAATGGTTACTTTGAATTTGCCAAATGAGTCATTACCAGCAGGAAGTCCAAAAGACTACTATTCTCTGGGAAAATAGTAATGATAATAAAGTGTCCATATAACAAAAAAAAATTCTTCCGGAATTATGGAAGAACAGAGGTCAGGAGAAACAGTTTAAAACCCTTGCACTCTGTTAGAATCATCTAAAGTCAAAATGGCCTAAAGCCAATGGCAAGACTTCCACAGCACTAATCTAGGGCTGTTAGATGATCTTGATGATAGGGTTATGTGGGCCACAATTGCAGCAAGATATGTGTGAGTTTTGTCCATGTCAATCATTGCAGGAAGGGCCACTGGGATCCGGCCAGGGTCTGCCAAGGCCATGGTATTGAGCAGCTAGAAGGGGTGTGTTAGAAGGAAGGACACATACAAGTCAGTACTTGGGCAGGTCAATTCCTCCACAACCATTGTTTTAAGAGGGATTTTTTTTTCTTTGATGTGATAATGAGTGTCAAAATAATAACGACATTATTATCACAATTATTTAAAACTCTCTAATAAAACTGGCCGGGTATGGTGGCTCACACCTGTAATCTCGACACTTTTTTGGGAGGCTGAGGCAGGAGAATCACTTGAGCCTAGGAGTTCAAGACCAGCTCTGGCAAATAGTGAGATCTCATCTCTAAAACAAGCAAACAAACAAAAAAATTAGCTGGGTGTGGTGGAACATTAGCAAGTGGTAGTCCCAGCTGCTCAGGAGGCTGAGGTGGGAGGATGGCTTCAGCATGGGAAGTTGAGGCTGCAGTGAGCTACGGCTGTGCCACTGCATTCAGTCTGAGCCACAAACCGAAACCTTGTCTCATTTAAAAAAAAAAAAAAAAGAATAAAACTGTCTCAGAATATCCAGGCTATACAACCAGTGTATCAATAATCCAACAAAGACTTTTTAATGTCACAATGTGTGACAGTGGTGGAAGCAAAGGGCAAAACTTGTCGTCAGCTGGATGAACCCACCTGATCCTGCCAAAGGTTTTGCTGATCCCTGCTAATGGCTTATTAGCTCAATTAGAGAGGCTGCTGTGTTGATGGACTTCAGTTCCTTTCTAGGCTAGTTAACTTTTCTCCCAGTACTTTCCCTGCTGGCCAGCTCTCTGTAGTTGCAAAGCGTGATGAGCAGGAGCTTGCTGATGGAGGGTGCAAATCCAATTCCCACAGCAGGAAAACTCTCCATGCAACTGTGGGGTGGCTGGGGGAACAAGGTAGATGCGTAAGTGAAAAGCCGCAAAGCAGGGACCCTGAGAAGGAGCGGAGGGTCTTGACTGATTATCAGGCGGCTGGCTCTGTAAAGGCTTACAAAAAGCAGATGCAACACCTGTTGAATTGCAGACTTTCTGCCCACCTGGGCTTACACAAACTTACGCCACACTGGAGCTCCCGGGGACCCTAGAATACCAATGGTCTAGCTCCCCTATTGACAGTGGTTCAATCTCAGCACAGGTGCCAATGAGTTTCTCCCATTATCTCACTTCATTCTTAACTTTCTGCACTGGAGAACTAAGACAAGGCGAGGTTAAGAAATTCATTAGAAGTTAACAGAACTGTTAATTACATAGACCTGAAAATTAAAGAACATTTCAAAATTGTGGGTGCCCAGTCAGCAGCATCAGTATTACCCGGGATCTTCTTAGAACTGCAAATTATAGAGCTCCCCTCAATCTGATGAATGAGACACTCTGGGGATGGGGCCCAACAATTGGTGCTCTCACAGGTGATTATGACACACAGTAAAACTTAAGAATCGCTCAACTACAGTTACCTCCTGAACAACATGGGGGTCAGGCCCACCAACTCCTGCCCCTGCAGCATCCAAAATTCATGTATAACTTTTGACTCCCCCAAACCTTAACTACTAATAGCCTACTGTATACCAGAAGCCTTACCAATAACATAAACAGTCAATTAACACATACTTTGAATGTGATATGTACATACATAATAGGGAGGCAATCAGGAGAAATAGCCACTCTTCTTATTACCTGATTTGTTTTCTAAGTTTGCTAACATTCCCCTTCTCCTTGTCCAGTCCCTTGACATCTCATCTCCCACCTCCTCATTCTACACCCTCCTTCCCACCTCCATTCTTCAAATAATCAGGGTTAATGCCAAAGCAGTGGCATATAGGAAATCTGTCATAAAACAGGCCCCTAGGGTCAGAATATTTTATAAAGTGAGCAAAGTCTGTTTTTTGCATCCTTTCACCTCGCCTCTGTAGACACCTTTTCCCCTTCTGTTCTTCTTTCTGCAGACGTCCCCCACCTAGGGTGACTAATCATCTCAGATTGTCCGGGACCGTCTAGATTTCATGACTAAAATCCTGGGGAAGCCTTCGCACTCAGGCAAACTGGGAGGGCTTGTCACCTTTCTCCTGTGTCTAGTCCTAACTCTCAGCTGTGGTTAACCAATGTCAGCTTAGAGCCATTCGGTAAACAAATAATTATTGAGCTCCTACTACATGCTAAGCACTGTGCTAGGTAAGCAAAGCAGACATGGTCCGCTGCTCTCAACAGCTAACCGTCTGCTGGGGAAAACAAGTGACCAAAATAAAGAGTGACAGGTACTTTATTGGGGCCGAGTACAGTGCTACGGGAATGCATTGGAGGGATAATTGGAGGGGATGTCAAAGAAGGCTTTCTGGGAGAGCTATCATTTAGATGCTATATGACAACTCACAGTTTCAGGTATTACCTGTCCAGGTACATTACGAGGGGAAAACAGATCTTGCAGATAGAGCCAGAGGGTCTTTAAAAAACCAAAGGGAATAAAATGTAATGGTGTCATACAAGGCTGTATACCTTGGATTTTGAGACAGGCCCCTTTCCTCCAAATACTAAAACAGCTAAAAATACATACAAACACATGAACACACACAGCTTTACAGGGACTAGAATTATAAGGAATTTGGAGTGGAATGGGGATGAGGAGAAGTTAGCCCACAATTCTTTCCTTCTCGGGTTAATCAATTTGTTTCACTGCTGGACAGGGAAGGCTTCCTCTCTCCCCTCGCATATGCCCGCAGACTTGGCTAGAGCCACACTCTTTTTCTTATGTTGTTGCATTGTGACTTGCAGCCGGCTGCCACCAAACCTTTCTCTCTCTCTCTCTCTCTCTGTCACACACACACACACACACACACACACACGCAGACACACAGAGTATCCGTCTCTCTCCCTCCCTGCTCCTGAAGAAGGGAGTAAAAGGGAGTAAATTAAGACTGGACAAGTCATCCCAGGAGTGGCTGACCCCTTCCCCAGGCCATCCCTTGGTGCCTGCCACGCCAAAGAGTGGATAACTGGAGGCTATTTTGTGACAGCAACTGGGCAAACAAGCCTGGAGATAAGTACGGTGTTTTCCAAAGCTAGATCCACATGCCTCAGACAGCGGGCACCCTTGGGGTCAGAAAAAAGTTGCCAATATAGAGAGAAGAATCAGGGCTTGGAGGACAGGGCAGGGTCCCAGGGCTGCAGAAAAGATAAAGAGAAAGGACTAAAGTGACAGCAGGAGAAAAAAATCAGACTCTGTCAGCAATTTCTAGACCTTTATTTTTGTAAAAATCAGAAAAGATAGCAAGAAAAAGAGAAACAAGGGGTCACTTGGGCTTCTTTGTACAGCAAGTCTTGTAAACAGGAAAGACAAAGATAGAATGAAATCGTGTTTGCCTGAAAGCCTTTCATAATTGATACATGCTAAATAATTTAAGACCATCAGGCTGGGGCAATGGCTTACTTCAAGATTTTCTACTGTTCTCTGCTGTTCCATCCACTTTACTGGTTAGAATCTAGTGGGTGCCAAGGGTGATTATCTTTCCCACCTGTTCTTCTGCAGTCTGTCTCATTTAACCCTGGACTAGATGGAGGTTTCAAGGTGCATCGAACTGGATTTTGACCTCCTGCTGTCCCGAGCAGCAGCCCTGCCTTTAGACTTCCCTTGCCCAGATAAGGGACAGCTACAGAGGCAGCTCTCAGGTGATTCAGAGAGTCTCTGAATCCCTGTGCCGGCTCTACCGCAGAGGCAGATAAATGCTGGAGGAGCAAATGACAGCTCTGCTTCTGTCTACACTGAGGCAAGGCCTGACAGAGAGTGGTTGGCTTCTCTCACATCTGCTATGGATGGCAAATTTGGGAATTTTTGAGCATTAAAAAGGGGAACTCATTAACATATTGTATATTTTTGTTGTCATTTGATTGCTTGAGATGGAGAAATAAGACAGAGTGATTCCAGATGGGAGGGTTGAATTTGCTACATTGTAAGTAAATGGAGAGTTAACCAGTAAGAGTCGGTCCTCAGGAGGTGGACAAATTTATCAAGGTTTTCCAAAGCTGAAGTTCTGATTTATTTGTTCAGATTGGCAAAATGATTATATAATTTTATTCAATAAGTTGAATTCTGGATATTCTGCAGAAAACAAGAGAAATGTTTGTAGAAAAAGCTATTGCTCTTTATTGCAATAAAATGTCAGCCTTGGTCATGAGAACTAGACAGATCAGAAGCAGAGGACTGTTAACTTTTTTCCTTATAAACTTATGTCACTTGCCATGTGCTACTTTTGCAAGTTAAAAAATGTACTTAAAAATGATATCATTTTTAAGAAGCTTAACGATGATATCATACTCTTTAGGTTGCAGAAGACAAAGAGGAAAGTGAGGAAGAGCTTATCTTTACTGAAAGTAACAGTGAGGTTTCTGAGGAAGTGTATACAGAGGAGGAGGAGGAGTCCCAGGAGGAAGAGGAGGAAGAAGACAGCGATGAAGAGGAAAGAACAATTGAAACTGCAAAAGGGATTAATGGAACTGTAAATTATGATAGTGTCAATTCTGATAACTCTAAGCCAAAGATATTTAAAAGTCAAATAGAGAACATAAATTTGACCAACGACAGCAATGGAAGAAACACAGAGTCCCCAGCTGCCATTCACCCTTGTGGAAATCCTACAGTGATTGAGGACGCTTTGGACAAGATTAAAAGCAATGACCCTGACACCACAGAAGTCAATCTGAACAACATTGAGAACATCACAACACAGACCCTTACCCGCTTTGCTGAAGCCCTCAAGGACAACACTGTGGTGAAGACGTTCAGTCTGGCCAACACGCATGCCGACGACAGTGCGGCCATGGCCATTGCGGAGATGCTCAAAGTCAATGAGCACATCACCAATATAAACGTTGATTCCAACTTCATAACGGGAAAGGGGATCCTGGCCATCATGAGAGCTCTGCAGCACAACACGGTGCTCACGGAGCTGCGTTTCCACAACCAGAGGCACATCATGGGCAGCCAGGTGGAAATGGAGATTGTCAAGCTGCTGAAGGAGAACACGACGCTGCTGAGGCTGGGATACCATTTTGAGCTCCCAGGACCAAGAATGAGCATGACGAGCATTTTGACAAGAAATATGGATAAACAGAGGCAAAAACGTTTGCAGGAGCAAAAACAGCAGGAGGGATATGATGGAGGACCCAATCTTAGGACCAAAGTCTGGCAAAGAGGAACACCTAGCTCTTCACCTTATGCGTCTCCCAGGCACTCACCCTGGTCATCCCCAAAACTCTCCAAAAAAGTCCGGACTGTGAGGAGCCGTCCTCTGTCTCCTGTGGCCACACCTCCTCCTCCTCCCCCTCCTCCTCCTCCCCCTCCCCCTCCTTCTTCCCAAAGGCTGCCACCACCTCCTCCTCCTCCCCCTCCTCCACTCCCAGAGAAAAAGCTCATTACCAGAAACATTGCAGAAGTCATCAAACAACAGGAGAGTGCCCAACGGGCATTACAAAATGGACAGAAAAAGAAAAAAGGGAAAAAGGTCAAGAAACAGCCAAACAATGTCCTAAAGGAAATAAAAAATTCTCTGAGGTCAGTGCAAGAGAAGAAAATGGAAGACAGTTCCCGACCTTCTACCCCGCAGAAATCAGCTCATGAGAATCTCATGGAAGCAATTCGGGGAAGCAGCATAAAACAGCTAAAGCGGGTAAGTAACCAGAGAACAGACACAGGGGCACAGATACAGTAAATGAGTTGTCCTCCGTTGCACGGTGGTACCAAAGTCACCTCTCACAATACTTATCAGTACTTTCAATATTTTAGTATGCGAGAGCAAACACGCCAAGTCTGAAACATTAGGAGTGGGCACAAAAGTGAGCACATTTCCATTTGAGAGGAACGTCTGGGCCACTTTCCCAGCCTCTCAGTCATATAAGGGCCAGGACCATTTTAAGACACTCCCGGACATACATGTCCCAATTCCCTTAAGAAGAAAACCAGGGAATATAATCTAAATTCCAAAAGGATTCACCACTTGTCAAAAATTTTACCACAGAGTTGTGATTGATTTGATACCTAATTTATAACATAAAATGTATAACATGGTAACAACAATTATTACCATGCAGCAATAATCAACCTATGCTTGAGTTCTTCTCAGAGGATACTGCTAGAGACATATCCTATGGATATTTTTCCCTTATCACGTGTGTTGTTTCATTGAGAGAAAATCCGCTATTTTTGTAGGTGGAAGTTCCAGAAGCCCTGCGATAAAAACACGATCTCTAGAAGAGGATGCAGAACTGTTCAGTGGTATTACACAAAATGCATTGTGAGATGTTTCTAAAATAACTTCTTCAATTCAAAATGATCCCTGACTTTAAAAATAATCTCGCCCATTAATTCCGAAGAGAATCTTAAGAAACAATCAGCATGTTTCTTCTGTAAATATGAAAATAAATTTATTTTTTATGTTGTGAGATTTGTATTGGCAAGAAGCAATTAATTTAAAGATGCTCTTCCTATCTCTGGATGTGTTGGTAACTCCGACTTGTAATGAGTTCATGAAATGTGCTGTTATTTTTGTAATCTCAATAAATGTGGATTGAAGTTTTTTCCCTTTTTTTTTAAGCCAAACTAATATTTTTCTGTGACTTGATACATCTGTCAGATTTTTGTAATCTCGATACATGTGTATTGAAGTTTCTTCCCTTTTTTAAAAAAGCCAAACTAATATTTTTCTGTGAGTTGATACATCTGTCAGGTGTGTATGTAACATTACTGGATATTAAAAAATATTACATTCTCACCCAAAAAGGGTCTGAGTCCTAAGCATTTGCCTTTCTTTGTTTCCTCTTGTTCAAGAAAATCTGATCAGATCTCTTTCTAAAGGACTGCAAGCAAGAATTTTTTTTATTTTTTATTTTTTTGAGACAGAGTCTGGCTCTGTTACCCAGGCTGGAGTGCAGTGGCGCAATCATACCTCATTGCAGCCTCAAACTCCTAGGCTCCACTGATCCTTCTGCCTCAGCCTCTGGAGTCCCTAGGACTACAGGCATGCACCACCACACCTGGCTAACAATTTGATTTTTTTGTAGAGACGGGGTCTCACTGTGTTGCCTAGACTAGTTTCCAACTCCTGGGCTCAAGAGATCCTCGTACCCGGGGCTCTCAAAGCACGGGGATTATAGGTGTGAGCCAGCGTGCCCAGTAAGAACTTTCTTCAAAGTGAGATAAAAAGTTGTGAAAAGATCCCCACTGTGGTCATTATCATCTTAGATTCATGGATGCTAGACCCAGGATGGAGCTGATGCTTCCATATTTCCAGAAGTCCCATAGATACCCAGATGTCGATTCAATCATTTGTTATAAAAATGAATGATCTGTTGAAGGAATAAAATTGAAAAGAAGTTTCATGGTAGGAAGGAAATAAGTGCTAGAGGAATACTGGAAGATAAGACCCCTAAATTCAAAGCTACATTTCCCAGACTCACCCTCCCAAGGTTTACCGTTCTTAGAAACAGTGGAGATCTTCATTTCCCTTGGTAGAGACGTCACTATTTTCACCTTGTGTTCAAAATTACATTCATTTTGTTGTTCAAGGAAATAAAGGTAAAATATAGGTTTTTAAAAGGCATGTATGTGTGCAGTGTGTGAATTTA